TGAGAGAGAGAGGAAGTGAGAAAGCAGGCCACCAGATTCAGGACTCGAACTCTGGTCGGCCATGTGGGAGTGTCCAGCGCCTTAACCACCATGCCACCTGCTGGTCCTGTAATCTATTCTCTTCTATTCTCCTCTCATCCAGCCTCCTCTTGGGATCTTGGGCACACACACATGTACTAGGCGGGTCTGGGACATGAGCCACAGTGGACTATATGGGAGTCATAATAACCATTATGCCATCTGCTGGTCCTGGTCTGAGGAGTTTTAATTAGGGTAAAAGAGTGCATGTGTATAACAGTAGCTTCAATTTTGCTAACAGTTTGTTTTCTAAGTACTCTCGCATAGTTTTCCAGTTGCTTTTTCCTTATTCATGATAAAGTGTGTGCATGCACAAGAGAAAGAAAGAGGAAGAGAAAGAGAGAGTGCTGTGGCCTCCATAGGTCTGGTTATACTGTGATTCCTTCCTTCAGTCCTTCAGCCCCTTACCTTGGACCCTGGGCATTCGCACACATACCTGGCACATCTCAGGCTGACCAGGATGGGGACTTGAACCGTATTTGCCATGTGGGATCCCGCCTCTCCTGAACAGCACATTACTGCTATGCCACAAGGCTGGTCCTCATTTAATTTTTGTCGTAAGTCTTATTTTACCAGTAGGGTAACTAAAACCTAGAGAAGCTGACAGGAAGAATAGGGATTAGAGGCGTGGACTCTGGAGTCCACACTTAGTCCCAGTCCTCCATTAACTGCGACCTTCCTTGGACAGGTTACTTCTTTTGCCTCAGTTTCTTCAACTTTATAACAGGGGTAATAGGGACCAGCAGATGGCATAATGGTTACATTGCTCGACTCCCATATAGTCAACTGTGGTTCAAGTCCTGGACCTGGTGACTTAAAACTTATGCCGGGAGTGTGTATATGTATACCCAAAATCCCCCCAAAAAATAAAAAATAAGGGATTGAGGCATGGCCATCTGGGGAAGTGATTCCTCACTTTCTGTCTGTCTCTGTCTCTCCACCGAGTGTACATGTCCTGTAGCAAAAATCTCTCTAAAAACAAAACAAAACAAAAAACCAGGAATAAGAATAGCACATATGTCACTGGGCTAATACGATTAAATGAGTTGTGAATATATGTAAAACTTGTTGACTGGTGTCTGGCAAATGGTTACACAATGTGTTAGATTTGAGCCAAGTTCTGTGTAACTTCAAGATCTTGCTGCTTGGGTTGGCAGGTAGTGTGGTGTTTAAAGTACTGGACTCCCACATGGTTGACTGTGGTTTGAGTCCCAGACCTGGTGACTTGCTTCTCACTTTCTCTCTCTCTGTCTCTGGTTTAAAAAGTAGTAATCATGATAAATAAAGTTAAGTGAGTAATTATTCAAAAGAAGAAAAGATCTTTCTGCTGAGTCATGTTTTACCCTCTGGGAAGCCTTTCCTGATCTTCTGTATCTCGATTGTGTAACTCTTGTCTGCACTTCTGGAACTTTCTGTACTGCCCTGTCCTGCTGCTTTATCCTGCTATTGTGGCTTTTATGCTTTGTATCCAGCTTGTATCCTTATTACTTGACACATAGTAGGTGCGGAGTAAATGATGGGGTTTGTCGGCATTTGTAACAAGCTGAGTATCTTCTTAGCTAGACCTGTTGGGGTTCCAGGATTCCTAGAATGTGGGCCTCCTGGTCAGTGGGTATGGAGTGATCAGTGGGATGGCCTGTGTGTGGGGTGGGGCCGACGCCCGAGCAGCAAGGTCGTGCTCCTTGAGTAGTTAACTAAAACCTAGAGAAGCTGACAGGAAGAATAGGGATTAGAGGCGTGGACTCTGGAGTCCACACTTAGTCCCAGTCCTCCATTAACTGCGACCTTCCTTGGACAGGTTACTTCTTTTGCCTCAGTTTCTTCAACTTTATAACAGGGGTAATAGGGACCAGCAGATGGCATAATGGTTACATTGCTCGACTCCCATATAGTCAACTGTGGTTCAAGTCCTGGACCTGGTGACTTAAAACTTATGCCGGGAGTGTGTATATGTATACCCAAAATCCCCCCAAAAAATAAAAAATAAGGGATTGAGGCATGGCCATCTGGGGAAGTGATTCCTCACTTTCTGTCTGTCTCTGTCTCTCCACCGAGTGTACATGTCCTGTAGCAAAAATCTCTCTAAAAACAAAACAAAACAAAAAACCAGGAATAAGAATAGCACATATGTCACTGGGCTAATACGATTAAATGAGTTGTGAATATATGTAAAACTTGTTGACTGGTGTCTGGCAAATGGTTACACAATGTGTTAGATTTGAGCCAAGTTCTGTGTAACTTCAAGATCTTGCTGCTTGGGTTGGCAGGTAGTGTGGTGTTTAAAGTACTGGACTCCCACATGGTTGACTGTGGTTTGAGTCCCAGACCTGGTGACTTGCTTCTCACTTTCTCTCTCTCTGTCTCTGGTTTAAAAAGTAGTAATCATGATAAATAAAGTTAAGTGAGTAATTATTCAAAAGAAGAAAAGATCTTTCTGCTGAGTCATGTTTTACCCTCTGGGAAGCCTTTCCTGATCTTCTGTATCTCGATTGTGTAACTCTTGTCTGCACTTCTGGAACTTTCTGTACTGCCCTGTCCTGCTGCTTTATCCTGCTATTGTGGCTTTTATGCTTTGTATCCAGCTTGTATCCTTATTACTTGACACATAGTAGGTGCGGAGTAAATGATGGGGTTTGTCGGCATTTGTAACAAGCTGAGTATCTTCTTAGCTAGACCTGTTGGGGTTCCAGGATTCCTAGAATGTGGGCCTCCTGGTCAGTGGGTATGGAGTGATCAGTGGGATGGCCTGTGTGTGGGGTGGGGCCGACGCCCGAGCAGCAAGGTCGTGCTCCTTGAGTAGTACCCTCTGGCTGGAGGCTGGGTAGAAGGGCTGCTCCTCTTGGGACATGTTCTGGACCTCAGAGACCTTGTGTTCATTCTTTCTGCAGGTAATAGCTGTGGCCGGAAGTGACGAGAAGTGCAAGCTGGCGGTACAGAGGGGTGCCCAATCCAGCGTGAACTACAGTCGGGGTAGCCTGACCGAGGCGGTGAAGAAGCTGGCAGGTGGTGGTGGGGTGAACGTGGCTATCGACATGGTGGGAGGAGACGTCTTCCTGGAGACTCTCCGCAGGTGCATGAAGCGGGGCTGTCGGGAGAGGGCTAGAGCTGGGCCTCTGTGGGAGAGTTCCGACCTCTGTCTTCCTCTGGTCTTGCTTCTCTGTCGTTTTGGCTGTTCACTTCTCCTGTAGGCATCAGCATCACTGAGAACAGCTGAGTGGGTGGGAGGAAAGGAATAGAAGCAGAGAAAATCAGGAAATGCTTAAATATAGCAAAAACAAAATACCCAACTGGAAAATATCCAAAAAATGACTGCAGTCTCTTTAGTTGGCAATGTCAAATGCTTTAGAAATTATACATGTGTCAAATTCAGCTATGCCGGCCCCCACAAACTCCTTTATTGCATGCATGTGGGGGCCTCTGGAGGAGATCATTGTTCAGATGTTAGGATTACTGGGGTGACGGTCCCCTCCTTCCCAGTTCACAGTGCACCAAGGCCCAGGCTCTTGTGATCCGGCTGGTTTCTGAAGCAGCCGGCAGTGTAGGTGTTTCCTTGATTTGTTTTTATTAAAAAAAAACATATCACTGGAGATAGAGTGGGACTATTGTATCACACCGATTCTCCTGTTTTCAACCAGGGAGCCTGGAGTACTCCGATAGCATTGATTTAATTTCTCATGTCATCCTGGCAAGCATCATTTTGTGGTTTATCTCAGTTTAAAGTAGAAGAAACAGAAACAGAGACAACAGCCTCCCCACAGAAGGGATCCAGTTGGTTCTTTGGTTTCTGAGCCACGAGGCAGGCGGCATGTGAGTTGATGTTACTGTGCCGAGCCAGGAAATGTGCTTAGAGAAGCCAAGGAGGCATGTGTGGACTAAGTGGAGAGCCAGGATGGAGAACCAGTGAAATGCACCCTTCTCTTGCCTTCCTTTTTGCTTGTGGGATACTCATGTTTTGATAACTGCTTCTCATTTTTTGTTCTAAAGAGGAGCAAAAAACAAATCAAACAAACATACACATATTTTATATCAAAGATGTTTATAAAAATTGTGTTTGTAGCTCGTTGCTTAGCATGCACTGAATGGTACTTTTTATAACAGGGTGTAGTGAAACTGAATTTTGGTAGATTATTCAAAATTCTCTAAAGAAGCATGTTGGGGCTGACAGGTGGCATGGTGGTTGGGGCCTGAGTGGGTGGGAGGTTTGAGTCTTAGATCTGCTGGTTTGCTTTCTTACTTTCCCTTTCTCTCTTTGGTCAAATTAAAAAAAAAATTCTTAAAAATAGCTTAAAAAAAAAAAAGTGCTAAATAAAACCAACACATTACTAGGCCAGCAGGTGGCATGGAGGTTAAGGTGCTGGATCCCACATAGCCAGCTTTGTGGTTTAAGTCTTGGACCCGATGACTTAAAAATCACACCAGGGGACCAGCAGTTAGCGTAGTAGCTATGTCTCTGGACTCCCATGTAGTTGACTGCAGTTCGAGTCCCAGACCCGGAGGCTTAAAACTCACGCTGGGCGCATGTGTGTGCGTGCGTGCGTGCCCAAGATCCCTAGAGGAGAATGGAGGAGAAGGGATTGCAGTGTGGCCATCCCCCCTGGGGGGTGATTTCTAGCTTTCTGTCTCTCTATGTCTGTCTAGTGAGCGCATGTGCCCTATGGCAAAAGCCTCTCAAAAAGAAAAAAAAAATCACACCAGAGGAAAAAGGATTATGGCGTGGCCATGCCTCCTAGGGGGATGATCTCACTCCCCAGGCCCCTGTCTCTCTCTGGCCAACACACTCATAACAAAAACAAAAACAAAGACAAGCATGTGACTTAAAGGAATGCTGTAGTAAGTCTTTGTATGAAGCAAATGAACCTCCATTAAAATGTCTATCCTCTTGTTCTTACTTCCTAATGACATTAGTTTATACCAAATATTCTTCCACAGCGTGGTCAAGGCAGTTAAATAGACAGCCTAGATTCAAAGTGGGTCCCCTTGTACACTGCATATTCCTCTGGCTCCCTAATGCCTTGCTTATGGCTTGATTTTATATTTTTCCTTCAAAGGACCCAGGTAAGTAAAGAATGGTTCACCCCTGCCAGTTTTTGTAAGGTCAAAATGAGTTCCTAGCTGTGGACTTAATGCTTGTTGCTTTTTTTTAAAAAAAAGTCATGTTAAAATATACATAACGAATATTTACACTTACTTTGTAAGTATATCATTAATCTCATAATTGTGTACCTATCCCCAACAAATACTCTGTACTCATTACATAATAACTACATTTTTCTTTCTTCCTCTAAACCACTTCTGTTCTTTCTGTCTTTACGAATGAATGTATATTGCTTTTCTTTTACTCTACTTTTTTTTGTAAAACATGCAATTTACCATCTTAACCATTTTTAAGTGTACATTTCAGTAGTGTTAAATATATTCACATTATTGTGTGATAGATCTAGAGAATTTTTCATCTTTCAAATCTGAAACTCTGTATTTTATTTATTTTAATTTATTTTTTAGAGGTTTTTGTCTTTAGGGTGCTAGACAGAAAATAAGAGGCAGACAGAAATAAAGACAGTGAGAGGAAAAGTGAGAAATCATCCCATATGAGGATGGCCGCACCACAATTCTTTCTTTTCCATTCTCCTCCTGGGATCTTGGGCATGCATGCAAGCCCAGCATGAGTTTCAAGCCACCAGATCTGGGACCTGAATGGTGGTCAGCCTTGTGGAAGTGCAGTGACGTAACCGCTACGCCATCTGCTGGCCCCAAACTCTATTCCTTTTAAATAATTTTACTTTCTCCTGACTCCCCAGCTCCTGGTAGAAACTATTCTTTTTCTTTCTATAACTTTTTTTAGAATTATTTATTTAATTTTATTTATTATTTAATTTGCTGCAGGGCTCACCAGAGAGTGGCAGAGAAATAGAGAGAGAAAGAGAGAGAAAGTGAGAAAGAAAGCCACCAGGCCCAGGACTTGAACTGTGGATAGCCATGTGTGAGCCCAGCAGCTTAGCTACCATGCCACCTGCTGGCCCCTCTGTTTCTATAAATTTGACTATTCTAGATACCTCATAAAAATGACATCATACGGTATTTGTCTTTTCACGTCTGGCTTATTTCACTTAGCATAATGCGCTCAAGGTTCATCCATATTATTGCATGTGCTATGATTAGTATTCCATTGTAAATATCACCACATTTTGTCTGTCCATAAATCTACTGTGGACACTTGGATTGCTTCTGCCTCTTGGCTGTGGGGAATAGTCATCACTGCTCTACGTGTGGGTATGCAAATATCTCGTCGCGATCCTGCTTTCTATTCTTTTGGATATGTACCAGAAGTGGAATTGCTGAACTGATTTTTAATTTTTTGAAGGATCTTCCTACTGTTTCCCACAGCAGCTGCATCTTTTGTAATCTTACCAACAGTGTAAAAAAGAGAAAGAAAGCCACCAGGCCCAGGACTTGAACTGTGGATAGCCATGTGTGAGCCCAGCAGCTTAGCTACCATGCCACCTGCTGGCCCCTCTGTTTCTATAAATTTGACTATTCTAGATACCTCATAAAAATGACATCATACGGTATTTGTCTTTTCACGTCTGGCTTATTTCACTTAGCATAATGCGCTCAAGGTTCATCCATATTATTGCATGTGCTATGATTAGTATTCCATTGTAAATATCACCACATTTTGTCTGTCCATAAATCTACTGTGGACACTTGGATTGCTTCTGCCTCTTGGCTGTGGGGAATAGTCATCACTGCTCTACGTGTGGGTATGCAAATATCTCGTCGCGATCCTGCTTTCTATTCTTTTGGATATGTACCAGAAGTGGAATTGCTGAACTGATTTTTAATTTTTTGAAGGATCTTCCTACTGTTTCCCACAGCAGCTGCATCTTTTGTAATCTTACCAACAGTGTAAAAAAGCTCTAATTTCTCCACATTTCACTAATCCTTGTTATTATTATTCTTATTTTTTGGATAGTAGCCATCCTAATGGATGCGAATATACACTGCTTTTTATCATTTCTTTTCTTCTTTTCTCCCCAGCCTGGCATGGGAGGGCAGAGTCGTGGTGGTAGGTTTTGCCGGAGGAACCATTGCATCTGTGCCTGCTAACCATTTGCTCCTTAAGAATATCTCTGCCATGGGGTTGTACTGGGGTCGATACCAAAACCAGAACTTTCCCGTCTTCTCCAAGAGCCTGTCCTCAGCTCTTCAGTACTGCCAGGAAGGGCGTATCCAGCCATACGTCGGAGCAGTTTTCAAACTGGAAGAGGTGAGACACTTTTAAGGGATGTGATACAGATGAGGCCAGGAGAGAATCTGTGTCAAACTACTGGATAGTTTGTCTCTGGCTACTACAAATCTTCCTATGAAATAAAAAGGTGAAAATGCAGTGTAGACTAGTGGGGCCTCACAGGCTTTAGGATCCAGTCTTCTGGGTTTATGGCCATAGACTCAGACCTAGTGTGGAGCCGAGTTGTGTGGTCTCTGTGTACAGCACTGGTGTCTCAAGTACAGGGACGTTATAGTACTTTAGACAATAATTTACACGTGATGATATGAACCTTGAACTCTTCCTGGGAAGGAAGCGCTCGACTTGACCTTTGATTTAAAAATGTAGACATTTTAAAGTACGACCAGAGGCTCTAAGTTAGGGTTCTGTGAATGGAACTCTAAATCATGCCCAGCATCATAAGACTCTAATTTATCTGTTAGTCACTGTGGTTAATTTTGTTGGCTACTCGGTCCCTTTTCTCATTCCCCCACAGTTTCATTAATGTGACTTAAGTTCCTGGAAGTGTAATTGTGTGTGTGGATATGCCATATCCTTGTAAATGTGAATCTGTTAGGCTTTCACTGTGAAGTCTTTTATTATTATTTTTGGCTTAATTTGTTTTAATGCTCAAAAAACTGTTTTGGTAACTGTGGTCAGCCATAGATGGAGCCGATGTTGTGCTCAAATGCAGATGAGTGGAGTCCAAGCTGCCAGCATTTACTGCCTTCCTCTTTCTTTCTTTCTTTTTTTTTTTTTTTTGCTTGAGAGTTCTTTTCGCTATAGGGCGCGTGTGCTCCCCAGGCAGACAGAGAGAGACAGAGAGACAGAAAGGAAGAAATCACCCCCCAGGGGGGATGGTCACGCTGCAATCCCTTCTCCTCCATTCTCCTCTCGGGATCCTGGGCACGCACGCACATGCGCCCGGTGTGAGTTTAAGCCACCGGGTCTGGGACTCGAACCATGGTCGGCTACGTGGGAGTCCAGCAACATAGCCATTACGCTAACTGTTGGTTCCCAGTGCCTTCCACTTTCTCATGTTTTCCTGTGATGGGGCATATTTATCTCTTTTTTTTTTTAATTTTATTTTATTGCCAGAGGGTGTGTGTACTCCCCAGAGAGAGAATGAGAGATAAAGAGGGTGAAAACACCCTACAGTGGAATGTGGTCATGCCACAACCCTTTTCCTCCATTTCTCTTTCTGTCAGGACTTTGGCCATACATGCTCACACAGCCATTGTGTCCCTCAAGCCACTGGGGTTAGGATTTGAACTCTGTGGTTGGCCTCGTGGGATCCATTTCCGGATGCACAGAGCTTAACTACTATGATATGGGGTGGACCCAAGGCCTATTTTTGTTGAACATAGTTTACTTTCTTACTTATCATTTTGGTATGTGAGTCAAGGAGATAGCCTTTAGTGGTATTGAGATTCCGACTGGCCATTTGCTAAGGCTGGAGTCCAGTTTTGTCCCTTAGCCCTAGAGATCTGTGGAAGTCCCCTTTCTTTTATGACCTGCAGTTTCCACATCTCTAAAACTAAAGAGTAAGACCTTACCAGTGCCTTCAGGCTGTGCTTCTGGAGCCTCAGTAGGGATGTGGGACAGGCATGTGTAGACTGCAGCTGCCTCGGCTCTGGGACCCTATCTATGGGGTCTGAGTAGCTGCACATTTTTACTTTACTGTTTTGTTTGTTTGTTTTTTTGAAAGACTTTTTTGCTATATAGTGGATGCACTCATTGGAGAGACAGAGAAAGACAGAAAGACAGAAAGTGAAAAATCACCCCTTCCCCCAGGGGGATAGCCACTCTACAATCCCTTTTCCTCCACTATCCTCTTAGGATTTTGGGCACACACACACATGCACCCAACGTAAGATTTAAGCCTCCAGGTCTGGGACTCAAACCACGATCGACCACATGGGCATCCAGCATCTTAATCACTATACCACCTGCTGGTTCCTCACTTTTCTTTTAAGAAAAATTATTGTGGCTTAAGAACTTAGAAATCAACAGTTTAGAAAGTTTCTGGGTCCCCTTCCATCTTATAGCTTTTATCATGTGATTCTAAGCTGAGGTTTGCTTTACCTAGTGGACAGAGGTAAGGGCAGGTGGGCATCATGGAGCAGAAGCAAGTGTTGGTGCAGTAGTTCCTTCTCCCCACTGACATGTTCTAGGTGCCAGTCGGGCATGAAAGAAAGCCAGATGTGGACCTCAGATCGTCCACATCAAGGTTCTGTCTTCTCAAACATAGACAATGAAGTGATGTCTAACCAGTCAGCTTCCATTCTCCTTACAGTTCTTTCTGCTCTGCCGACCTTGGTCCCATCAGGTGGCTCTTTGAGGCCATGTTCTCCAACACAATTCAGGCATCTCATTCACATGCTCTTGATTTAATCCTTTTTTCTCTTTCCATTTCTTATAATATAAAAAACTACTTAGAATAATATTAATGATAGCAGCTCACATACATTAGATGCTTTCTTTGGCTGAAGAACTGTGTAATCACTTAATATGCATTTTTCTCATTTAATCTTCACAACATTTCTTTGATGTAGGGACCATTTTTTCCCCCAAAAAAGTTTCCTTATTTATTTCTTCCTTGAGTGAGAAAGACATAGAGACAGAGATAGAGGCAGGATCCCCCACAGGCCCTTGATGCCACAATCCGCTCCCAGCCTTCAGCCAGCCCCAGATATTGGGCAGGCATGTGCCTGGCAGATTCATGGAAGTCTCTGGACATGAACCTGGCACCATCCCACGTGGGATTGCCTTGCAAAAATGTTACATTTTATTGCTGCACCATGGTCTGGCCTCTGAACCGTTTTTTTTTTTTTTTGGAGAGGTTTTTGCTATAGGGTATGAGCACTCGCTGGAAAGACAGAGAGGCAGAGAGATAGAAAGCGAGAAATCATCCTCCAGAGAAATGGCCACGCTGCAATCCCTTCTCCTCTATTCTCCTCTAGGGACCTTGGGCATGCACATACACATGCCCGGCGTGAGTTGAAGCCACCGCGTCCAGGCCTTGAACTGTAGTCGACTACATGGGAGTCCAGCAACATAGCCATTACACCAACTGCTGGTGCCCCCTGAACCATTTTAATCAGTTTACAGATGAAGGAATCAAGACTTGCAGAGGCCAAGACACCTGCCTCATAATATGTAGTAAGTGACAGAGTCAGCCTTCAGTCCAGCTTGATCTGACTTCAAAATCTGGGCTCTTTATGGCCATGTAAACTCTCTCCTCTAACAAAGCCAAAAAGTCCTTTTTTAGAAACTTTATTCTATAGTATGAGGTTTATCCATTGATCCCATGGTTATCTATGTGAAATAACTATCTTATAGTTAAAATGACCAGGATTTTTGTATTTTTTAAAGCAGTGCCAGAATTTGTATATTTTGTCTTTCTAAAATTAAGCTAGTTAAACAAATATATAATTAATATCACCAAATTGTAAAGCCTGGGTAATTTTTAATGTAACTTAGTTAACATACGGGGAAAAAAATCACCAAAGCCTATTTGGCTTGGAAAATGACCACTTTACTTATAATATGTTGTGCGGATGGAAAAGTCGTGATGCATTTTTACAAAGAAAAAACATGTCATGACTTTTCTGACAATCCAATATATGTGTAATACCAGAAATCAGGGCTTCCTATCTTGTCTTTTCTTCTGAGTGTGTGTACTTATGGATTTGACCTTGATAGTTGATGTTCTCGCCATAACCTTTTTAGTAGGCCCAGGAGTGACTTTCACGGGCCCCTGCTTTTCCTTTGCTGATTTTAATTACTTGCTCAATGTCTGTCTGTCCTCGAGAGTGTGAACTGCATGCAGGCAGAGGTGCTGTGCTGCGTGCTGCTCGGTATCTCCCATTTCTTGAAGAAACTGACATTGCTGTTGAGTGACTGAGAGTGTGGGGGCTCTGAGGTCAGACTACCAGAGTTCAGACCCTGGCTATGGCAGTACATATCTTTGTGCATTAGTTTCCTCATCTGCAATGGGGGCAATAATATCCCCTACCTCCTTGAGTGGTTATGAGGCTTAAGAAAGATTATACATGTGAAAGCATATAGTAAATTTAGAAGCTTAAAAAAAAATGCATACTATGGGACCAGCAAGTGGTATGGTGGTTATGGTGACGGACTCCTACATAGCTGACCGTGGTTTGAGACCTGGACCCAGTGGCTTGAAAACTCATGCCAGGCAAGTGTACGTGCATGTATGCCCAAAATCTCAGGAGGACAATGGAGGAGAAGGGATTGAGGTGTGATCCTCTCCCCTGGGTGTGTGTGTGTGTGTGAGTGTGTGTGTGTGTGTGTGTGTGTGTGTGTGTGTGTGTTTTCTCATTTTCCCTCTCACTGTCTCTCTCTTTGTCTCTTTCTGGGGGGAACATGCACCCTATGGCAAAAACCTAAAAATAAACAAACAAACACCAACCAAACAGACAAAAGATGTCAGCATTATAAACCACAGAGATGTGGGACCAGCAGATGGTGTAATGGTTATGTTATTGGACTCCCACGTAGTCAACCACAGTTCGAGTCCTAGACCTGGTGGCTTCAAACTCAGGCTGGGCATGTCTGTGTGCATGCCCAAAATCCTGAGAGGAGACTGGAGGAGAAGAGATTGTGGCATGGTCATCCTCTTGGGGAGGTGATTTCTCACTTTCTGTCTCTCTGTCTTTCTCTGTCTCTCCAGTGAATACACATGCCCTATAGTAAAAAAATAAAATAAAATAAAATAAAATCTCCCTAAAAAATAAAATAAAATAAAACACAGAGATGTGTTTTTTTCTTTTTTTCAGTTCCCCTGAACTGTGACACTTTCGCATTGATGTCTCAGAGGGTAGGATTCTAGAGATTTCAAATTTTAACTATAATTTATTGTTTTCTGAAGGGTTATATCTGTGCCATGCTGGTTGGGTCATGAATTTGCCCTGAGATCTGTTCAAAGGACGGTATCGTGTGGAGGTGTAGAGTTTGTTTATGTACAGAACTACCCA